GTCGCCGTGATTGCTGAAGATCTTCGCCGCGCTCGCGCGCGCGTGTGCCTCCACCTCTGCAGGGTTGGCCTCGATCCCGTCAAGCTCGATGTCCTCGAAATTGTTGGCGTACCTGGCGCGCCCACCGCGCTGCTTCTCGAGGCCCCGCGGACTCTCGATGCCGCCCATGAACGCCTTCGCAAGGTTCGCCGTCCAGATGCCAAGACTTGATGCTGTTCCCTTCGGCCTGTCTATCGCGCTCGTATGTTCGCGCGTGTTGTCGCACCTGATGCCGTTCAGTTTGGCGCCTAACATGATGGCCGCGGTCAGGAACCGCGTCGGCTTCGCGACGGGGTCGCCTGGGAAGTCCACCAGGTTGCTGCCCTCAGCGCACTGGTGCGTCGTCGCGGCCACAGGCTTTGAGCCTAGCCACGGCGGGAGCTTCCACGCCTCGGATGTCAGTGGTTGCTCAAGTAGCACGCGAGCTCCTCGACGCTTCCAGTCGAGCCGGATCTGCTTGACAAATCGAAGATGCTTCATGCCTGTTGCTAGCTTCATCATCCTCGTCTTCCGCGGAAACACGCGCGATGCGTTCGTGAACGGGTCGCAGGGGGCACCCACGATCGTCATTTGGGTCCTCCTCGTCCAGCTGCATCAGCACTTTCCGCTGTGACTTACTGTATGCCGCCACCTTATCAGGATGCCCCTTGGTCTCGCAGTAGGGCGTCGCCGCTGCTGAGCTTCCGACGCGGCCGCCATGCCGCCAGCGTATAGCTCGCATATGATAGGCCGCTTTTCCTCTGGGTCCGCCTTTAGCGTCTCCACGACCTGCTGGCACTGGCCCAGCTTGTCCTGTCACTCGTTGTCCCACGTCTCGATCGGTGCCCTCTGCTTTCGTCGTAGGATGCCTTTGTCTACCTCCTGCACCTCCGCGGTCCAGATGTCGATCTCATCCGGCATTACTGATGGCGCCGTCAATGTGGTTACTCTCTTCGGCCAGTCCTTGAATGAGATCGCAAGGTGCCCCTTTTTCGGTCTTGCTGGGTGGCACCCCGTCCTTATTGATCGCCTGGAAGTCCGCCTTCCGCTCCTTCGCGAACAGCACTGCGCCGTGTTCTTCCAGCTGGGTGGATGCTGACCAGCATCGGCGTCTTCGATTCCGGCAGCCTCTGGAACCGTAGATTCACGTCGGCTCCTGCAAGTCCGGCTGTCGCCTCCCGCTCGCCTTCCGCCATCACCAGGTCGCTATGATTCACGACTCGGAAGCGCATGGATGAGCTCCTCATCCTCGTGGTTCCCCTGCTGTCCTCAGCGTAGCCGTCCAACGCTAGTGGGCCTCCACATCCGCGTGGGCGCGCTGCGTCAAGTACAGCGCGTCCATATGGAATGAATCCTTTCCTTATCGCGTAGGCCTCTTTCTCCTCCAGCTCCTCGTAGTCGACCGGCAAGCCGGATGATGGTGCACGACCCTCCGCGGGCCTGTAGTCTGCGTCCGTTCTGCGTTCCGTCCACAACCTTGTTGGTCGCTCTCCATGGGGTGGGCGCTCGCAGGCGCCCCCCGCGATGTCTCGTAGTTCCGCGGTGCTGCCCCAGGATGCTCGGCATAGATCGCGCGCCGGGCCCCTGAGCCCCCGCGGCGCCATCTCCATCGCACTTGCCCAGTCCACGCACCAATCCGTGCAACTCTTGCCGGCTGCTTCCATGTTCTCACAGCTGACCCATAGAGCTGCGATCTGCGCTGCTCGGTCTTTGATCTTCTGCAGGCCAGCTGCTGCGTTATCTTCTGACTATTCGGCGCTTGATCTGCTGGGCCCTGTCGGCCCTGATCCAGACCGTGGTTTTTGTTGCCGTGAGTGCCCTCGGATTCTCGCGCGCCAGAACCGTCTCCAAGCGCTGATGCAGTCCAGGTGTTCACGACCTGCTCGTCGGTGTCGATCCTCGCCTTCGTTAGAGTCGCGATCTCCCCAGTCGTGGTCTCCATGTTCGCCAGCTGATTACTCGCGATCTGGATAGCAGGCGCGCCCGTTCAGCCTTCCGCCGCCAGTTGCTTCACTGCCGTTGCCATCGCAAACCCAACCCGTCGAAGACAACCTCCAGGGCGCCCGCGAAAGCCTCGGCAACCACCTCGTCCTCCACGCTGAAGGCTGCTCGATGATCCCCACCTGGTGGCCTTGTCTGTTCGCACTCCGGGTCTCCTTTTCCAGCGGCTCTTCTCGTGGCACGCATTGCACATCGTGCTCGCCTTTATCTTATTTAGCGTATATTCGGCTTCCTTGCCGCCCACCTTGATGGATCCCTGCCTGCTGATGTTGGCCATCCAACCTCGATTGGACTTGCTGCGTGCAAGCCTCCCCCGGGCTTGCCTGCAGTTGGGTTTGCGACCTCTCCGTCCAGCCTTCCACCCGAGACGCGGCGCCTCAGCTGCTAGAGCGTCGCGCTCCTCCTGGCTGATGTCCGCAGGGCCGACGTCGTCCATCGCCCCCTCGAACTCGTCAATATCGACTGCCAGCGCGTCGTAATCTGCATCGTTCAGGAGCCCGTCCTCGTCGCGCGCGCCACGCTCGCATCCGGGTAGGGATTCCTCCTCGTCATCGTCGTAGTCCGCCGGGTGTGCTCCATAACGTCCGTGGCCAGGTTCGCCCCTGCACGTCGCGTCCAGCTGGATGAGCATCGCCGCAGTTACGTCTTCCCATATGCATTCGTCGCGGCACTGCCCGGGAATAGCCTTGTGCTCGGTCATGCTGATATTGGACAACTCCAATAGGAAATGCGTCCGCAGGTCTTCACTCACAGTCGTGTTTGCTGAGAAATATTTGAGCCGCTCATACTCCGCCCCCCGCCTCGAGATGCGACCTCGCGCAGGCTCCGACCTGTTGCGGTAACCTTTGAAGAAATACTTCTCGAAAGCCTGCTGCTTCTCAATTGGGCAATCTGTTCGCACGCCTGTCGCACTGTTGCCACCGCCAATTTTATTGCAGCAAGTGGGTCTTCACCTGCCTTCGGCAATCTCGGCCCTATTCCTGGCGAGGTTCCACGCTCGCCCATTCGAGGACCTCTTGAGCTTGATGGCGCATAGTTTCTGCAGCTTCTCCTCGCTCGCGCGGTAGCCGAGGATACCCCGCTCTTCGAACTCCTTGCCGCAAGGTGGGTCGCCGTTGCAGGGTGCGACGCCCTCCTTGTCCACGAAGAGGGGTCCGTCTTTGGATTGTTGCTGCCTGGTCGCCATCTTGTCTGCAGTAGTGATGTTGCCGGCTCTGTTGGTAGGCTCGCCGTCTCTGAAGATGGCGTCGCCGTCTCTGAAGATGGCGTATCCGTCCAGCTCGTAGTAGATGTCGTTGTCCATGCTGCTGGTGGCAACGATTCTCGGTCATACTGCAGGTGAGGATGCTCAGCGTGTTGATCGCTGAAGAGAGCGCGTAATGGTAAAGCACTACGACAGACTTGAACGCCAGCAGATATCTACACTGCCACTCACAATATGAATCTCGCAAATTCAGCTCCAAGCTACCCGTGTAAACATGAATCACAATATCCCTCTCGCCATGCACTTAATGCAAACACAACATAATCATAATGTTTAAAACTATGTGTTTATCGCTGTACTCAGGCCAACACGTGAGTAGGTGCGTCCACCCTCCCGCCCAGCTTATGAGCCACAACGGCAATGGGCGGAAGGGCAAGATAATTCATTACCACCCTAAATCTCACATCCTCGCCTATACAATTTTCACACGAGGCCAGACCCCCCCCCTTGCGGGAGAGGCCCCCTCCCCGGCCCCGAGTTCGGCGCAAAAGGGGGGAAAAGGGGGGGGGAGGTCCGGACCCCCCCCCTTCAAAGGGGGTGGGGGAGGGGGGTTCGGACCCCCCCCCCCTTAAAGGGGGGAGGGGGGGGGGTTCTGCGAGCACCCCCCCCCTTTTCAATTACAGGGTCATCCGGTGGCGCGCTTTCCTCGTCGAGCCTACGAGGACGACGCAGAGGTATGCGTACAGCTCTACGAGAGGCCACGTATTTCGTAGATTAGACGAACGAATCACTGGTGGGACAATTCAATGCTACAGTCGATCTCCTACTTGAGGCCTGCGGACGGGGCGGAGCAGGCGGGGTTTGTCGGGGAGCCGCTGTCGGTCTTCGCCCCCGCTCTGTCCGTACCTACCCATTTCGGACGTCTCGAATTGACAGGGGAACAAACCATGACATGAACAAAAACGTTCGGAGATCCGCGCGGATATCCTAAAGTTCATGTTTGTGTCATTTGTTGCTCTCCGAGGTGGGTCCCACGAGCGAAATAGGTGCGGAAAGAAATGGGCACGAAGACCGACAGCAATTCTTGTGAACTCTGAGGAGGACTCGCTGCCGGTGTAGCCACGGGCACTGTCCATGTCGACAGCAATTGTTGTTGGGCACCGCACCATTGTTTGCATACCAATGCCGGGCGTCCCAAAAAAGAGGGAAGGGAGCATCTGCCTGGCTGCAAGGATGCTGGGAACAAAGCTCGGCTGGCACAGGTGCTGCTGAAAGGTGGGGCGCACTGCCCTGCAGGGCGCAGGTCGTGCGTTCGCCTCCTCAAATTCCTCCTTCGACATGTCTTACTCTCTGTGACTATCGCTCTATGTCGGTCTCCTCGTTCTCTCTCTCTCTCTCTCGACCTACCTCTCTCTCTCTCCCCCTCTCTCTGGCGACCCGCATGTCTACATAAAATGTACGGTATTCGATGTACGCGAATACATTCACCCTGTCTTTTTTTTTTCTGTTTCTCTCTCTCTCTCTCTCTCTATATATATATATATATATAAATATGTATATATATATATATATGTATAGATCGCCCTCTCTCTAGCCCCTTCCTCTCATTCACTATCTCTCTCTCTCTCTTCTCTCTCTCTCTCTCTCCCTCTCTCTCTCCCCCGGTCAATACAATATGACCATCTATCTTAATATTGCCATCTCTCTCCGTGTCTCTCTCTCTCTCTCATTCTGTCGCTCTGTCTCCCTCTTTCCCTCTCCCTGGCTGTGGGAAGGCCTTGGTGCCGTCGTCGCCCGCGCAGCCGGCTTCGCGACCGTCAGCGGGGTCAGCTGCTACGTCCACGCGGGACTTCGCCTCCCGGGCTGGGGTCGATCTGCCGGGGAGGACATCGGAGCAAGCTTTCCCCTTAGCCTGTCCCGCTAGTCCCTCCCAAGCGCATCTTCCTTCACTCGCAATGCCAATGCCGCATGTCGCACGGCTGGTTGCGCACCGCACTCTGGATAGACTGCACTGCTATGACCGCTTCCACCAGGACTGGTCCCTCCCAACAGTGTTTGGCTCGGCGGATGCCACAAGGGCAAGGTGGACAGACAGTTCTGAGGGCGGTGGAGGGGGGGCATTACACTTCTTCGCCAGGGAGCCTCGTCGAAGACGAATCGGGCGCACGCCGACAAAGACTCCGAGGACATGGCGCGTGGGCGCCAGATCCACACATCAGGAAGGGACCCCCGAAACATGAGGCCAACTTTGTTTCATTTGAAGGGGCCCTGGGACACACAAATAAATAGATACAAGTAACCGGATTCCCCATCTGTTTCCATATTTGCGGTGTTTTCGTTTTCCCCCCCCCCACTTCCCATATTTTCCAACAATTTCCTGGGAATCGACGATTCAGTGTGTCTGTGTGTTTCTTCCCTTCCTGATCATTTGGCGACAGAGCGCGCCAATTTTGTACACGAGAAGGTTATGCAGGAGGTCTGCCACAGCAAGCCGTAAGTCTGCCGCCAAAGCTTCCACCGCCGAGTGCGGTTTCCCAGCGAGGATACCATGAAAGTGAGCAGCGAAATCAAAGCGAGAGGCACGTGATGATGAACCACTACTCGTCCCACCCGGCCATCAATGACGAGACGATGCGAGACCAGCTTCGCAACCAGCAGCGAGAACAATCGCCGCACCACCCTTCATTGCAAAACCCGCGCAGTAGCTGGTGAAGACACGGACCCCTGGGGCGTCCTTGGCGAAAAAGTCGACGAGCGGGGTCTCGTCGTGGTGGAGCTCCCGGAGCGCGACGATGCCCCGCGGGAGCTCGAGGCGCCCGAGGTAGCCAAGCTTAGGCTTGCCGCGTGTGCCTTGGTACTGCAGCAAGGCGCGAGCATCCCATGATGTGAAATTGGAGGACGGCGCACCCAGAAGATCCAGGCCGCCACTTCGGAAGGTGCGACAACCGCTTAGACGGCCGCCGCGAGCCTCTCCTCTGGTAGGTCCAACTTCTGGACGACGGTGTCGGCCCATGAGATGTCGGAGGCCGCGTTGCCGGGGCGGGGCGGGGCGGGGTGCGCGGCGCTCGGCCACGGCCCGCCACGATGCACCCGCAGTCCCTGTCGAAGAACCACGGCCAGGAGCTGTCGACGTCGCGGAAGCCTTCTCTGACCCGGCGGCCCTGCACCCCTGTCTTGATCTGCCGCGGATTCCTGCCGCGGCCAATGTGAAATGAAACCAACTTCGTCAGTAACCGCAACCTCGAAGCGCTTCCACTGGCCAGGGCCGACGCGCGGGGCACCAAGGACAGTGGACACTCTACGGGCCGCGGGGGCTGCAGCACGGGTGGGTTGGACGGCGAAGTGGCGGCCGACGTCCTCTGCGGAGGCGATGTTGGAGTACTGCGCATCGACGCCGATCTCGACGATACAGTCGGCGAGGGCCTGCTTGACGGCGTCGAGCTTGACCGACTTGTATGCCACAAGTCGGATGAGGGTCGGGTCGGCATCCCAATCGAAACATACGGTTCTGGCAGGCAATTGCTTGGGTTGGGGGTTGGCGAGGGCCCGGGCTGTGCGCATCTCCTTGATGTGATCCCGCAACGCGTTGAGCATCGAGTCGTGCTCGTCGAGCCTTCTCTCGCAAGAGCACAACCGAACTGTCTGTCCATCAAGCTATTCCTGGATGCGGCCCTGGAAGACGTCGACCTTCTGGGTCACGGTGCTGGCAAGCAACTGCTTGGGTTGGGGGTTGGCGAGGGCCCGGGCTGTGCGCATCTCCTTGATCTGATCCCGCAACGCGTTGATAATCGTGCTCGTCGAGCCTTCTCTCGCAAGAGCGCAACCGAGCTGCCTGTGCATCAAGCTGTTCCTGGTTACGGCCCTGGAAGACGTCGAGCTTCTCGGTTTAAAACTGTTCTGATGCATCTCTTGCCATGTGTGGAAAAGACCCGATTTCTTCCAGAAACTTCGGAGCAGCAACATGATCAGCAAGCTGAGTGCTGAAGACCTGCACATGCTCCGAGACTGTGGTGGTGACGACGGCCGCGAGCTCGCGGACAAGCTTGTCGCGGTGCTGGGCCATCCTGGCGCTCAGCTCCTTCGCGGCGAGGCGGCGTCGCCCTCCATTCCTGCAACTTCAATGTCCGCAGCATCGGCCCCCCCCGATCAGCGGCATCCGGTTTGACAGGAGCAGACCCACCAGAAGAGCTATCAGCGTCATAGAGATCACCAGCAGAAAGGACGCCGCCAGCAGTGCCACGGGCCTTCTTCTTCCGAGCACCTGACTTCGGCACCTTGCCCAAACGTTTGACCACTCCACCATCTGCGGCCATGCCACCGCGAACGGGCGGCCCTCGGAAAGCTGTGGAGGGGGGGGGGGCCGTGGAGCCGGCGCCATCCGTGCGCCTCGCCGGTGGCCTGGAGCTGCAGAGGTCGCCGCGCACATCGACA